TGTGTGTGAATTAGTGAGTAAATCTGTCAATAACGCTCAAGCAATATGCTGTCACCGTTCTCAACTGAAAGTAGCTGCACTAGCCGCTCTGCTATCAAGCTAACAACCATGAAGGAAAGCTAAAAGCTAGTCGGTGAATCTCTGTAAAACACGACGGAACTATTCTATTGCTCCATATTGAACAGAAACAGTGCCACGGCTACGTCATATAATAAGAAAGCAAGAGAAAATGAGACGAAAGCAGGTTTTTGCTAGCAAGCTAACCAACTATTCCGACGCCATGGGCTGTTTCTCTCGAACGTGCCGCTGAATTGACTGATGTCTCAAAAGTCACTTTTTTTACTGCTGAAGTACTTTTAAACTGATATTATAGAATAGACATACCTGACAATTGCAGCTTATTTGGTCGTAATGCAGTCAGAAAAGAAGTTATTAGTAATACAGCTTGTGGTTATCTCTGGGTAAAATGAGATAGGTCCACACCCTCTGCGCCCCCTAAAACGTTTACAGAACTGACGGAGGGTATAGTGCCCTCTACTGGCGAAAGAGAGCTGCAACAAGTTAAAAATCACCGCCTCAGGTCGTGTTTATTTTCTTCTCTTTTTCTCTTTGTTGTATCGTTTGTTCTTCCGACTGTATGACGCAAAACGTAACAAGGAATATAATAACAACAACAACAACAACAATAATAATATATATAATAATAATAATAATAATAATAATAATAATAATAATAATAATAAACTGACAAAAGCTGATAAATGTCCCAAACATCAAAGTTGAGCAAATTTCTTTGGAACAACGTCACTGCATACGACGTTTACGTCTCGCGCAGTCGCTCGGCGCCATTTTTAAAGCCCACAGACCACAACAACTTTATTCCAGTGTTTTCATTGTGTTACCGACAGTAAAGTTGTTTTCAGGTTGGATATGGGATATTTAATGAACCGCTAACCCTGACTTTTAATTTTTGTCTACCTTTTTAAGTACAATCCTAAATGAATATAGTTATTAAACATTTTATTTTTTATTTCTTAAGGATTGGTTTTGTAATTTTTCTATTTTTTTCTCTATTTTTTAAAATTCTCTAGTTTTTAATTCTCAATTTTCACATTTTCAACCTCATAATACCTTTTAGTAGTTTAATTATTTCTTATATTTCCCGGAAAGTACATAATTAATATTCTATTCTTATTCCAACTCTCACTATTTACCTGGTCTGTGCATTTTTCCATCTCATAATTCCCATAATTTTCATAATATTTACCTTTTCACCATAATCTTTTGGACGTTTAACTCCTCAAGATAGTTGCATGATCTCACGCTTCCGGGTTTTAAAGCGGACGTGGAGTTGGACAACTTCCGGCGGCTATAGCGTTAGCATTAGTAGCCTAGGAAAATGGCTCAGTCTCGACGCAGTTGTTTTTGTTCGGTCCCTGGCTGTTCATGTGGAGCAAGAAAACAGCCATATTTGTCCTATCATGCCTTCCCCACGGACCCAGACCGACGGAAGCAGTGGATCCAGGCGATCCGAAGAAACGAAGGTCCCGACTTTTGCATAAAGACAGGGAGCACTTTCGTATGTAGCCGCCACTTCACACCAGAGGATTTTGTTAGCAGATCCACCACCAGCCGCCTTAAGAGAGGCTGTTCCTTCCCTTTTCGCCTGGAATAACTTCAGTGCACCAGCAACGAGAGAGTGTTCTTTCCAGAGCGCTAAGAAACAACAGTTGGTCCTCTCTCAGGAAGCTAGCCAGGATGCGGACCATGACTACACGGCACAACCACCCGCAGGTAAAGGTCAAAGATACTACATTGTATACATTTGTAGATAATTTCAGTCAAATATAACTATTACGATAATAATTGGATTATTATTATGACATAATAATGAAATCATTATTATGAGATTATGTGGAGAGATGAAGTCAATGGCTGTATACATACATGCTGCGACTCACAACATGTATTGATGTTCACAGAAGTAATGTTATGTCTATATAATTAAAACTTGTTGCTAACCGTATGTTTTGATCATTTATGTTGTGGTTTTACAGGTGCACTTGATGAAGCTCTGGATTATATCAAGGAGTTGGAGGCCAGACTTCAGAAAGTGGATTCGTCTGCCATACTTTTTAGCCGCTACTGTGCCTCTGATGAACAGATCCGGTTCTACACCAAATTCCATCTGAACGTGTGTTCCGGATCTTCTGGGAGTCCATTGCGCCCTCTGCATCACTCCTTGTGTACTGGACCAGAGCACAGAAACTTGGAGAGGAAGCATGTGCTGAAGCCAGCCCTGCCCGCTGCATGCCTCTGATTGATGAGTTCCTGATGTACTCATTCAGGGTAGCAGTGGGCATGAAGGAGCAGATCATTGCTGACATGTTTCAAGTCAGCATAGCTACTGTCAGCCGAGTGACCATCACCTGGGCCAACTACCTCTTCATTGTGTTCTCTTCCATCAACCTGTGGATTAGTCGTGAGAAGGTAAAAGCCAGTATGCCTCAGAGATTTCTGAAGTTCTCTCCAAATGTCCGCGTCATCTTGGACTGCACAGAAGTTGCTCTGGAGACGCCGTCATTACAGTCTGAAACGTTCTCTACCTTCAAGAACCACACCACTCTGAAAGGGCTGATTGGAGTTTCTCCCTGTGGGTTGGTGACATTTATTTCAGCGTTGTACACAGGCTGCATCTCCGACAGAGAAATAACGAAGGTCAGTGGAATCCTTCCTCTGCTTGAGCTGGAGATGAAGTCATGGCAGATAAAGACTTCCTCATTCAAGACCTCCTTCATGAAGTTGGAGCCAAGCTCACCATTCCACAATTTAGGCATCCTGGCCAGTTCAGCAAGAAAGAGACAAAGGAGACCCAGACCATTGCTCAGCTGCAGATCATTGTGGAGCGAGCGATCGCTAGAGTAAAGTGCTACCACATCTGGGATTCTCCGGTGCCTCTCACTTTAATGGGAGCTGTCAATCAAATCTGGCACAACTGTTGTGTTTTGGCAAATTATCAAGGCCCATTTTGTGTTGCAGACTAAATTGTTTCTGTAGGTTACTTGTTGTAATGCTACATAAAAAGTTGTTCAACTTTTTAAATAAAGTTAATTGAATGTATTTAAGAAAAATATATTCAATTAAACACACTTTAGCAGCATAGTGTACTTTTTTTTGTATTGTCTTGTTTAAGTTGAGGTGCAAGGAAATCAAAAACCCTTAACTATTTAATATTTTAATTGTACACCATACATTTGAGACTTCTCTTCCACACACAGCACATTGCGGAGGCTAGTTGGTTGAATTTTCTGTCATGAATGGTTAACAACAAACAGCACAGTGAGCCTCCCTGCTGATCCACTAGTTCTGGGTACACAGTAGAGTGCTGAACAGACTGTGTCTTACAAATAATCATTACAATCGGGTCCAACAACAAAGTGGACAATTCAAGACTTTGAGGAAGCATGAAGTGCACAAGCCCAGAATCCCAGTGCCCCTCTCTTACCTAACAGGTGAGAAAGGGGCATTTCTAACAGGTCATTTTATAGTGATTTTTGATTGATAGTACATCTTCTAAATAAATTTCATACAATTTGGTCTTTGGTCTTAAATCGAAAAAATAACAGCAGTCAAATTTAAGCTATTTAACAGCACCCTCTAGTGTTTCAAAAAAAAAGAAGCTGGTCATGTCATCATAGAAACAGGGAATAGACAGACTGGCAAATACAGCAAACTGACAACATACATTTCTGACATTTAATATAACATAATTACCTGCAATGAATGGTTAGCCACAAACAGCACAGTGAGCCTCTCTCTGGGTACTACAATAAAACTCCACATTAGTCCTTGAGCACATCTAGCATTACTGTTCAGAAAAGAACTGGATTTGATGACTTACCACAGTGGAGTGCTGAACAGACTGTGTGGAATTTACAGTTTCTCCTCCTTTTATAGCAGGGGTGTCAACATCCAGTCCTCGAGGGCTGGTGTCCTGCAACTTTTAGATGTGCCTCTGCTGCACCACTCCAGAATAGAATAATTAGGTCATTAGCAAGACTCTGGAGAACTTATCTACACAAGGAGGAGGTAATTAAGCCATTGCATTCCTGTGTTTTCTACCTGTAGCTCATCGAAATACTGCAGGACAGTGGCCCTCGAGGACTGGAGTTTGACACCCCTGTTTTATAGGCAACCAGTAGAGGGTGCCAAAAACCACTCATTACAGGACAACTATGAAACACATTTCAGCGGGATTTAACCTGAACCATTTTAACTGTATTACACATTGATTTAAATTATAAGTAAAATATAGTTCCTGGCTGCTCCAATTAACAAACCCACCAAGAACAGCGTAAGACAAAATACATATACACAAACAAACTTGACAAAACAACCACATCAGCATAATATTAGCAAATACTCTTCATTTTTAAATAGTCATTTCATTTCTAAAAATACCTTTCTATAAGTATAAATTCAATCATTAAACTTCTAAAATGTGTAGTGCTTTTGCTCCCCTCTTCCACCTGCATTTAGTCTCTTCCAGGCTTAAAGATTCCCTGGGGCCCTGAGCACCCCAGGGAATCTTTAAGCCTGAACACCCTGCAGAGGATGAGACAGAGGTAAGTTACATCTACACAAACATTTCAGTGCATTTCAAACAGTTACGAGACCCATTCCATTCATTTGTTTTATTTTAACGGGACATCATCAGTTCCAGCTGAAATGCCACCGTATAAAAACAGACAATAAAATACTTCCTTCTGTCTCTTTTATCATTCAACACACCCTTTTAAGTGTTTTCCATCCAAGTAATGAAGACCTTCATTACAGCATAAAACATTTGGAAGCGTCAAAGGAGGAGAAGGGAAGTCTGGAGTCAAGTGGTGCAGAATGGTGCTACCAGAGGACTTCTGAGGCAGACTCTGATAAGACATTGGTGAGCCCTGTGACACAGGCCCAAATTTGGATGGAACCAGCTCCAAATCAGAAAGACAAGGACAAGAGCCATAAGTGGTTGGGACTCCAGCAGGTGTAATTTTTCTCCTGATGTCAGGATCTGGAAATGGTCCGACAAACATCAGTGACAAAATCATACTAAGTTTTGACAAAGGAAACATAGGTATAAAAAAAATAAAATAAAAGTTATACCTGTGTAAGCTCTGTAAAGTGTGGAGTGCAGATATCTTTTCCCCATAGTTTTAGGCTTCTGCACCACCATGTCGCTGACAGGTTCAGGATGTTTCCCCTTACCAGAAATACACAGAAAGATATATCAAACTAAAGAACAAATGAAGGGGTCACTGAGCAACTTGTTAGGACATAATGGCACCGATTTGGCACCATTTAGATTTTGACCCAACTCGCAAATAAAACAAATTGATTGCATTTGTATCTTTTTTATTGCCTACAAATAAATTCATATTCAAAGCAAATTATGAGAGAAATTATACTTGATACAAGTAATATTGAGATTACAACAAATTTTATATGGCAGTTATAAAATACAGGTTGGAAAGGAACATAAATGGCTGTGCGACACAATCACAAAGGAGGAATAAATTGAGTACATAACTATAGTACTGTTGTTTTAAGATCATATATATGAAAGTATATGTAATATAGTATATAATTAAGTATATGTAGTGTATTTATATACCACAGGACAATGTGTTCCACTCTTTTTCTGACCTGTGTTCTTGGTCTGTGCAGGAGGAACATTTGGCACCTGGAGTTGGGACTGGTGTGCTGTCTGGTAAAGAAGTGCAACTACGTGATTGCAAACACCTTTACCAGCTGCACAGCTACAGGAATAATCCAATAATTCAGCCTTTTCTTTTCCAACACCCAGTGATATCTAAAATAGACAACTGTTTTAGCAACAGTTGTCTGTTATAGCATGTTTAGCTTCAAACAAGTAGGTTCTTGTTTAGGTAAGCTTCAACAACAGCAGAAAAAAAACAGACTATGTTGCAGAAAACAAATAGTGACAAATAGTGACCACTGAACAGGAAGATGTTAGAATAAGTTCTGAGTTGTCCAGAAGATGTACATGAAAGTTCTTCATCTTTCATTGCGATCTTTGTGTAGTTCATATATTGCAGCTAGCGGTTAGCTTGCTAAGCTACGTCTTTTCTTTCACACATTTATTGGTGGGCGAATTCGCCGCTGCGATTTCCTCCGCATCAGCGAAAGAAAGTGCTGGCAAATTAAGTAAAGATGACGAAAAGGACCGGAGGAGGATATAGTCACCAAAACAGGAAGTGCCCCAGGGTTTTCAGGTGCAGCATCCGGTTGTCGTGAAAAAGGTCTACTGTAGATCTCATCGCCGACAGAGAACCAATAGTCCTGGTGAATTCTGTGTGTAGTGTTTCATTTTGATGCACATAATTCAAAATTGTAATAGAAAGAAAACATGAGTGCAGCGTTTTGATACAGAGCAATGTTAAACCATCCCTTCATGTTAGAATCCAACGACTCGTCGACATAGCTGATAACAAAAAATGTCAACAGAAAATTTTTTTGTCACATAAATGCATTATCCATATGTGAATGAGTTAATATCTAAAATACACCAATGAAAATCGGTATGCGTTGTAGTTTCAGTGAGTTTTGCAGAGACGTGGGTGCCACTAAAATAACTACTCACACCGGAGATTACCATTATACTTTAAATTAATTTCCTTTTAAAACAAAATATTGCATATGTGAAGCACTTTTTTTTTTTTTTTTTGAAAACGCAAGTCTTTGTTTAGTGTGAAATAAGTCAATTTGGCTTCAGTCTTTTGTAGTTTGCTTGCATACAGATGGACACAAAAAAAATTAAATCACCTGTTTTTTTTCTGTTTTTTCACAAACAGAAAAAAGGTGAAAGAAGCTATAAGGTGTAGTTTGTCAAATAACCAATATATTTTAGGCCTAACTGACATTTTAAATCGCAAGCAGGAATATATTGTAAAAATAGTGTTTTCCACTCTCACATTTATTTTATAAATGTTTGTGAAAATGTGGCGGCATCAGGGTGAAAATGACTGTATAGATTGCAGATTTGAGAAGAAGGGGTATACTTGTGAAGACTTAAAGATCCTCAAATGAAACAGAGATAAGTTAAAGTGACTGACTAAAAAGAAAAAATCTTGACAGATTAGTCAAATAGTCAGCTGATCTTTAGCTTGAAAAGTAGAAAACCTGAAAATTAATCCTTGAAGGTCAATATTAGGAAAACTATGATTTTCCAAGTGGATTGCATTTGTTCTCTGTGCAGCTGTTTGGATCAGATGCTCTCTCACCATTTGCATTTAACCACATCGCCATTTCAGATAAAAGCATCCCAGATGAAAAAAAAAGCTCACAGGACTGGTTGACAAAACAGAAAACAGCAAAGTGAAAAAAGGGCAAGTCTGTTCAAACTGGAATAATCATCTCCATATTTACCAAGATTATTGCAATCTCACCACCCTATTTTCCTAGTGCAACAACAGGGCCGGTTATGGCAGACGATTCCAAAGAAGCTGCAGCACTTTTATTTGCTTCTCTAGAAACGAACCAAAATTGGTCAAAACTGGAATCAGATTTTTTTTTTTATTATTTATCCAAAGAAAACCACCAGAAAATAGCTGGCAGGTGCTAAATTCTATTTAGTATAGGACTTTAAAAAAAAATTTGCTGATGCTTTTAGTAAAGTAACACTGCAGTTGTTTCTCGAAGTGGACACCCATGCATGAATAAAAACACACAAAAACAAGTCAATAAAAATCCATTTAACTTTATAGATGCACATCTGTATGTAGAGCTGGTTGGAACTATGGCAGCACGTATTGGACATTAAGGTTTACAAGTGAATGCTGATTTCTCGTGTTGTTTTCAGCGAAAGTTGTAAAAATGAATGCTTTTCAAAACATTAAGGGTACTATAAGAAAACCATGGTGAAGGAACTTTTTCTGTTTAACTTCTAAATTATTCTTGCGATTATATTTAAAAACATATGTAGGTGTAGTAATACAAATAGAAAGTTTGGGCAGGGTTATAATCAAGTAGGAAGTGACCACTAATAGGATGGAAGTGTTCAATCATTTTAATCACGGAGTAATAGTGTAACAGGTAACACGCTATGCTTAGCTGCTGTGTGAATACAAACCCTCATGACACGTAATGCTGCTCTATGTCGTTTAAAAAGCATTTCAAGACTATCACTTGGCATTGAATTTGTGTGTGAATTAGTGAGTAAATCTGTCAATAACGCTCAAGCAATATGCTGTCACCGTTCTCAACTGAAAGTAGCTGCACTAGCCGCTCTGCTATCAAGCTAACAACCATGAAGGAAAGCTAAAAGCTAGTCGGTGAATCTCTGTAAAACACGACGGAACTATTCTATTGCTCCATATTGAACAGAAACAGTGCCACGGCTACGTCATATAATAAGAAAGCAAGAGAAAATGAGACGAAAGCAGGTTTTTGCTAGCAAGCTAACCAACTATTCCGACGCCATGGGCTGTTTCTCTCGAACGTGCCGCTGAATTGACTGATGTCTCAAAAGTCACTTTTTTTACTGCTGAAGTACTTTTAAACTGATATTATAGAATAGACATACCTGACAATTGCAGCTTATTTGGTCGTAATGCAGTCAGAAAAGAAGTTATTAGTAATACAGCTTGTGGTTATCTCTGGGTAAAATGAGATAGGTCCACACCCTCTGCGCCCCCTAAAACGTTTACAGAACTGACGGAGGGTATAGTGCCCTCTACTGGCGAAAGAGAGAGCTGCAACAAGTTAAAAATCACCGCCTCAGGTCGTGTTTATTTTCTTCTCTTTTTCTCTTTGTTGTATCGTTTGTTCTTCCGACTGTATGACGCAAAACGTAACAAGGAATATAATAACAACAACAACAACAATAATAATAATAATAATAATAATAATAATAATAATAATAATAATAATAATAATAAACTGACAAAAGCTGATGAATGTCCCAAACATCAAAGTTGAGCAAATTTCTTTGGAACAACGTCACTGCATACGACGTTTACGTCTCGCGCAGTCGCTCGGCGCCATTTTAAAGCCCACAGACCACAACAAACTTTATTCCAGTGTTTTCATTGTGTTACCGACAGTAAAGTTGTTTTCAGGTTGGATATGGGATATTTAATGAACCGCTAACCCTGACTTTTAATTTTTGTCTACCTTTTTAAGTACAATCCTAAATGAATATAGTTATTAAACATTTTATTTTTTATTTCTTAAGGATTGGTTTTGTAATTTTTCTATTTTTTTTCTCTATTTTTTTAAATTCTCTAGTTTTTAATTCTCAATTTTCACATTTTCAACCTCATAATACCTTTTAGTAGTTTAATTATTTCTTATATTTCCCGGAAAGTACATAATTAATATTCTATTCTTATTCCAACTCTCACTATTTACCTGGTCTGTGCATTTTTCCATCTCATAATTCCCATAATTTTCATAATATTTACCTTTTCACCATAATCTTTTGGACGTTTAACTCCTCAAGATAGTTGCATGATCTCACGCTTCCGGGTTTTAAAGCGGACGTGGAGTTGGACAACTTCCGGCGGCTATAGCGTTAGCATTAGTAGCCTAGGAAAATGGCTCAGTCTCGACGCAGTTGTTTTTGTTCGGTCCCTGGCTGTTCATGTGGAGCAAGAAAACAGCCATATTTGTCCTATCATGCCTTCCCCACGGACCCAGACCGACGGAAGCAGTGGATCCAGGCGATCCGAAGAAACGAAGGTCCCGACTTTTGCATAAAGACAGGGAGCACTTTCGTATGTAGCCGCCACTTCACACCAGAGGATTTTGTTAGCAGATCCACCACCAGCCGCCTTAAGAGAGGGGCTGTTCCTTCCCTTTTCGCCTGGAATAACTTCAGTGCACCAGCAACGAGAGAGTGTTCTTTCCAGAGCGCTAAGAAACAACAGTTGGTCCTCTCTCAGGAAGCTAGCCAGGATGCGGACCATGACTACACGGCACAACCACCCGCAGGTAAAGGTCAAAGATACTACATTGTATACATTTGTAAGATAATTTCAGTCAAATATAACTATTACGATAATAATTGGATTATTATTATGACATAATAATGAAATCATTATTATGAGATTATGTGGAGAGATGAAGTCAATGGCTGTATACATACATGCTGCGACTCACAACATGTATTGATGTTCACAGAAGTAATGTTATGTCTATATAATTAAAACTTGTTGCTAACCGTATGTTTTGATCATTTATGTTGTGGTTTTACAGGTGCACTTGATGAAGCTCTGGATTATATCAAGGAGTTGGAGGCCAGACTTCAGAAAGTGGATTCGTCTGCCATACTTTTTAGCCGCTACTGTGCCTCTGATGAACAGATCCGGTTCTACACCAAATTTCCATCTGAACGTGTGTTCCGGATCTTCTGGGAGTCCATTGCGCCCTCTGCATCACTCCTTGTGTACTGGACCAGAGCACAGAAACTTGGAGAGGAAGCATGTGCTGAAGCCAGCCCTGCCCGCTGCATGCCTCTGATTGATGAGTTCCTGATGTACTCATTCAGGGTAGCAGTGGGCATGAAGGAGCAGATCATTGCTGACATGTTTCAAGTCAGCATAGCTACTGTCAGCCGAGTGACCATCACCTGGGCCAACTACCTCTTCATTGTGTTCTCTTCCATCAACCTGTGGATTAGTCGTGAGAAGGTAAAAGCCAGTATGCCTCAGAGATTTCTGAAGTTCTCTCCAAATGTCCGCGTCATCTTGGACTGCACAGAAGTTGCTCTGGAGACGCCGTCATTACAGTCTGAAACGTTCTCTACCTTCAAGAACCACACCACTCTGAAAGGGCTGATTGGAGTTTCTCCCTGTGGGTTGGTGACATTTATTTCAGCGTTGTACACAGGCTGCATCTCCGACAGAGAAATAACGAAGGTCAGTGGAATCCTTCCTCTGCTTGAGCTGGGAGATGAAGTCATGGCAGATAAAGACTTCCTCATTCAAGACCTCCTTCATGAAGTTGGAGCCAAGCTCACCATTCCACAATTTAGGCATCCTGGCCAGTTCAGCAAGAAAGAGACAAAGGAGACCCAGACCATTGCTCAGCTGCAGATCATTGTGGAGCGAGCGATCGCTAGAGTAAAGTGCTACCACATCTGGGATTCTCCGGTGCCTCTCACTTTAATGGGAGCTGTCAATCAAATCTGGCACAACTGTTGTGTTTTGGCAAATTATCAAGGCCCATTTTGTGTTGCAGACTAAATTGTTTCTGTAGGTTACTTGTTGTAATGCTACATAAAAAGTTGTTCAACTTTTTAAATAAAGTTAATTGAATGTATTTAAGAAAAATATATTCAATTAAAACACACTTTAGCAGCATAGTGTACTTTTTTTTGTATTGTCTTGTTTAAGTTGAGGTGCAAGGAAATCAAAAACCCTTAACTATTTAATATTTTATAATTGTACACCATACATTTGAGACTTCTCTTCCACACACAGCACATTGCGGAGGCTAGTTGGTTGAATTTTCTGTCATGAATGGTTAACAACAAACAGCACAGTGAGCCTCCCTGCTGATCCACTAGTTCTGGGTACACAGTAGAGTGCTGAACAGACTGTGTCTTACAAATAATCATTACAATCGGGTCCAACAACAAAGTGGACAATTCAAGACTTTGAGGAAGCATGAAGTGCACAAGCCCAGAATCCCAGTGCCCCTCTCTTACCTAACAGGTGAGAAAGGGGCATTTCTAACAGGTCATTTTATAGTGATTTTTGATTGATAGTACATCTTCTAAATAAATTTCATACAATTTGGTCTTTGGTCTTAAATCGAAAAAATAACAGCAGTCAAATTTAAGCTATTTAACAGCACCCTCTAGTGTTTCAAAAAAAAAAAGCTGGTCATGTCATCATAGAAACAGGGAATAGACAGACTGGCAAATACAGCAAACTGACAACATACATTTCTGACATTTAATATAACATAATTACCTGCAATGAATGGTTAGCCACAAACAGCACAGTGAGCCTCTCTCTGGGTACTACAATAAAACTCCACATTAGTCCTTGAGCACATCTAGCATTACTGTTCAGAAAAGAACTGGATTTGATGACTTACCACAGTGGAGTGCTGAACAGACTGTGTGGAATTTACAGTTTCTCCTCCTTTTATAGCAGGGGTGTCAACATCCAGTCCTCGAGGGCTGGTGTCCTGCAACTTTTAGATGTGCCTCTGCTGCACCACTCCAGAATAGAATAATTAGGTCATTAGCAAGACTCTGGAGAACTTATCTACACAAGGAGGAGGTAATTAAGCCATTGCATTCCTGTGTTTTCTACCTGTAGCTCATCGAAATACTGCAGGACAGTGGCCCTCGAGGACTGGAGTTTGACACCCCTGTTTTATAGGCAACCAGTAGAGGGTGCCAAAAACCACTCATTACAGGACAACTATGAAACACATTTCAGCGGGATTTAACCTGAACCATTTTAACTGTATTACACATTGATTTAAATTATAAGTAAAATATAGTTCCTGGCTGCTCCAATTAACAAACCCACCAAGAACAGCGTAAGACAAAATACATATACACAAACAAACTTGATAAAACAACCACATCAGCATAATATTAGCAAATACTCTTCATTTTTAAATAGTCATTTCATTTCTAAAAATACCTTTCTATAAGTATAAATTCAATCATTAAACTTCTAAAATGTGTAGTGCTTTTGCTCCCCCTCTTCCACCTGCATTTAGTCTCTTCCAGGCTTAAAGATTCCCTGGGGCCCTGAGCACCCCAGGGAATCTTTAAGCCTGAACACCCTGCAGAGGATGAGACAGAGGTAAGTTACATCTACACAAACATTTCAGTGCATTTCAAACAGTTACGAGACCCATTCCATTCATTTGTTTTATTTTAACGGGACATCATCAGTTCCAGCTGAAATGCCACCGTATAAAAACAGACAATAAAATACTTCCTTCTGTCTCTTTTATCATTCAACACACCCTTTTAAGTGTTTTCCATCCAAGTAATGAAGACCTTCATTACAGCATAAAACATTTGGAAGCGTCAAAGGAGGAGAAGGGAAGTCTGGAGTCAAGTGGTGCAGAATGGTGCTACCAGAGGACTTCTGAGGCAGACTCTGATAAGACATTGGTGAGCCCTGTGACACAGGCCCAAATTTGGATGGAACCAGCTCCAAATCAGAAAGACAAGGACAAGAGCCATAAGTGGTTGGGACTCCAGCAGGTGTAATTTTTCTCCTGATGTCAGGATCTGGAAATGGTCCGACAAACATCAGTGACAAAATCATACTAAGTTTTGACAAAGGAAACATAGGTATAAAAAAATAAAATAAAAGTTATACCTGTGTAAGCTCTGTAAAGTGTGGAGTGCAGATATCTTTTCCCCATAGTTTTGGGCTTCTGCACCACCATGTCGCTGACAGGTTCAGGATGTTTCCCCTTACCAGAAATACACAGAAAGATATATCAAACTAAAGAACAAATGAAGGGGTCACTGAGCAACTTGTTAGGACATAATGGCACCGATTTGGCACCATTTAGATTTTGACCCAACTCGCAAATAAAACAAATTGATTGCATTTGTATCTTTTTTATTGCCTACAAATAAATTCATATTCAAAGCAAATTATGAGAGAAATTATACTTGATACAAGTAATATTGAGATTACAACAAATTTTATATGGCAGTTATAAAATACAGGTTGGAAAGGAACATAAATGGCTGTGCGACACAATCACAAAGGAGGAATAAATTGAGTACATAACTATAGTACTGTTGTTTTAAGATCATATATATGAAAGTATATGTAATATAGTATATAATTAAGTATATGTAGTGTATTTATATACCACAGGACAATGTGTTCCACTCTTTTTCTGACCTGTGTTCTTGGTCTGTGCAGGAGGAACATTTGGCACCTGGAGTTGGGACTGGTGTGCTGTCTGGTAAAGAAGTGCAACTACGTGATTGCAAACACCTTTACCAGCTGCACAGCTACAGGAATAATCCAATAATTCAGCCTTTTCTTTTCCAACACCCAGTGATATCTAAAATAGACAACTGTTTTAGCAACACATATATACATCCATACATATAGCATGTTTAGCTTCAAACAAGTAGGTTCTTGTTTAGGTAAGCTTCAACAACAACAGCAGAAAAAAAACAGACTATGTTGCAGAAAACAAATAGTGACAAATAGTGACCACTGAACAGGAAGATGTTAGAATAAGTTCTGAGTTGTCCAGAAGATGTACATGAAAGTTCTTCATCTTTCATTGCGATCTTTGTGTAGTTCATATATTGCAGCTAGCGGTTAGCTTGCTAAGCTACGTCTTTTCTTTCACACATTTATTGGTGGGCGAATTCGCCGCTGCGATTTCCTCCGCATCAGCGAAAGAAAGTGCTGGCAAATTAAGTAAAGATGACGAAAAGGACCGGAGGAGGATATAGTCACCAAAACAGGAAGTGACCCAGGGTTTTCAGGTGCAGCATCCGGTTGTCGTGAAAAAGGTCTACTGTAGATCTCACCGCCGACAGAGAACCAATAGTCCTCTTAACAACTATTCCACAAAAATAAGTATGCTCTCCGCTTTTAGATTTTCTGCATCTTTATTCATCCTGCCTCCTCTCCTCTTGTTTGCCGCCGTCGAGCAAACAGCGAACGCCGCAGAGCGGGACGCAAAGTGGCCACAGCCGGAGCCGCGGACCAGACCAGCCACAGCCGCCGCCAGCAAGCTGACAAAACACTCTCAACAGAACGAAACGTACCGGAACGCAGAGAATCAACGGAGGAACTCTTCTGCTTCTTGGATGGACAGCGTGTTTTTGAAACCAAGGACCCGGTAAGTATCAGCCTCCTTATGGTCCGCCTGTAGGAACAGCACGTCAGAAAGTGTAGTTCAGTCTTCTTGAGGAATAGCGTCACACACCACAACAGGTTCGAAAACAAAACCGCAATTTTATTTCCCCACCGGAACCCGGCAATTCCGCTCTAATCCACAGCTGAAAAGTCTGCTAAACAGTTTACTCCTATTTTATTATAATGTTCACCTTCTTCTACTCATTGACTAACAAAGTAACAAACCAAGCCGTTATCAGTTAAGAAATAAAAATTAGAATAACGAGGACGCCAGCCGACCCGCCATTTTACATTTCTTCCACCGCAGCTCAATCAATTCGTTCTTCAAGTTCCAATAAAACCACAACTTTAAGGTTTTCTAAACAGCCTTAACGCTTCTATTTGTTTACTTCTCCCTACTCCCAAACGAAATAGCACATTCTATTCGCTTTATATTTATGTATAACACGAGAAAAACACCGAGGACGCCAGCCGGGCCGCCATTTTGAATCCGCTACAGCTCAAGCAACTAAAAACTTATTCTCAATAAAACAAGAACTTTAAGGTCTGCTAAAGAGCCTTAAAGCTTTAATTGATTTACCTCTCCTTGCAAATTCTACTTCTACTAGCTATATTATTTAGCAATAAAACTAGAAAAAACGACAGCCGGTCCACCATTTTAACTCCCACCACCGCTGTCTGATCATTTATTAATAAACCCCACCTTACACATTTGCTAAACAATCTTTTAGTTCACAATTAATTTACTCTTACTTCCTCAAAACAAAATAATCAAAAAAGGCTTTTATAAATAATTTCAAACAATTGTAACCTGTTCAGTGTTGTATAAAGTACTGAAATCTCGGAGTTAAGTAAAAGTATAGGTACCGCACCAAAATATGACTTTGGTCAAAGTAAAAGTAACTGATTGAAATGTTACCTGAGTTAAAGTATTAAAGTATCTGAAATGTCTTGTACTTAAGTATGGAAATTACTGCAAAAATGGATGTACTCAAGTAATGTAATGAAAAGTACAAGTAAAAAGTAAAACAAGGCAGTTTAAATGACATTTTTTATATTTTGGTAAACTTGTTAAATACACGTAAAATAATGTACACAACAAAGTGCAGGCAAAATGAAACCTGCTAATAGATATACCTGCAGGCATCATTCAGTTAAGAAAATTAGGTGCTTTACTTAAATCACAAGGTTAACTTAACCTGCTTTACAACTGAACCAGCTTCTTAGTATATATACCCTCCAGGACAGAAAATACAAAGTTTCTATAAGCCTCAAGTTTTCCCTTTCAGTAAGGTCAGTGCTGAAAATGAGAAAAATAAATAGTCAGTACAGAAAATGTGGCCAACATGAAGAAAAAAACCCATTACGATTACTCTACTTCACACACTATAGGTGCACACAACTAGTCATTATGCAAAAGAAAAAAAGAATTGAGAGGGAAATGCAGCTTATTTGGCATCTGAAGAGGGAGAGCTGAATCCCCTCTCCAACAAGCAACCCAGCTACATCAAGGACACTTGGGATTTCTTACATAAAATATGGAAACACACCTATCATCAGGGACATTGAAAGCTTGTACACTAACATCGAAACAAACAGGGGACTGGAAGCCATCGGGAATGCCTCCAGGAGAATCTGGACCCCACCCGACCAGACAACATTATTCTTGAATTATTGAAAATCAGCCTTGAAAGAAATTACTTAATGTTTGATGACAAAGAAAAGGCACAGTCATGGGAAAATGCTTCTCACCATCGTATGCCAACATCTACAAGGCAAAATGGGAAAGGAAAACTTTCCACCAGAATCCAAAACAACCGGAAGCTTACTACAGATACCTGGACGACATCTGGGGAATCTGGAACCATAGCCGATAAGAACTAGACCACTTTTTCCACACACTAAACAACAATCACCCTTTCATTAAGGTCAAACCCACAATAGATCCCCGCCAGGTGGTCTTCTTGGACACCACCACTTTCAAGGGAGAAGGTTTCCTCAGAACGGGCAAACTGGACAGTAAACTCTACTTCAAACCAACTGTTTCCGCCCCAAAAGTCTCACAGCACACAGATCCAACATTAGAAACAACAAGAAGATGGAGACCACTTTGGTCCAGCACTTCCTTACACATGGACTTGACTCCTTCAGAACCAGGCCACTCACCCACAACCCCAACTGGTCGAAACGAAAAAAATGGATCCAGGAACAACAATGGATCAAAATGCTTGACACAAGACAACCTCAATGACCCTTTTTTTTCTTTTATTAAACTGCTTAATATAACTACAAGAATTTCTTCCCTCAATGAAAGCAATTCCCCATTTATTTTTTATACAGTTACACTGAAATTTCTTACTTTTCTTTTAAAAATACAATCCATCAATTAAATTAAACTAAAAGAAGATAAGAACAAGGATATAAATAAACAAGGACTATGTATCTGAAAAGTTGAGCAGGACCGGGGTGACTCCCTACAAAGTTCAGAGCCGTCCTGTCACTCCAAGCGGCACTGGTGTTCAAAGGGGATCCTTCCCGCCTACCTCACCGGGAGAGCCAGGCATTCACTCCTACAGACACAAAGGTGAGTTTCACTTTCTGGCTAACATTAGCTTTAGCTTATGCTAGTAGGCAATATTTTTGGACATTTTTCTTGTTAAAGTCTGTCATTTAAGTATAAACATTTTTCATCCATTCTAAGGGACAATGTTTTTACCTTACTTTCAAGTATATTATGTAGTTAGATTACGATTCAGGCCTTTTTGCTGCTGAAGTTGTCGCTTTTAGAAAAATGTAGCCATGTTCCTTTAAGTCTCTGTGTTATTTTGTTTTATTAAAAATAGTTTTATGGCTAGAAGGTTTAGCAATCTAAGATATGTCTAATTATATTTTGACTGCACAAAAAACCTATTTGAGATATCTCTAATTACATTCTGACTAGTCGAAATGACGTCAGCTTTACCATTGAGTTGTATGGAGACTTCAAATCAAGATATCTACACCGAATTACTGACTGAAATACACATTTCAGATATCTACAGTTAAATTTTGACTAGTCCAAAAGGTAAATTCAAGATATCTTGATTTTAGTTTTGACTAGTCATATTTCTAATTAAAGATATCTCTATTGAGTCCATAATTCAAGATATCTTAAATGAATTTTTTGGATAGGAGAAATGTAGTTTTGACTAGTGGAAATTAAATTATAGATATCTTAAAAGTAAATAATGACTAGACAAAACTTAGAGATATCTTAAATATAATTTTAACTTCTCAAAATTCCTTTTAAGATATGTAATGAGATACCTTGAATTATTCAACTTTTCTATTTAAGATATCTTGAATTTGCATTCTGTCCAGTCAAAACGTCACTGATTTACGTGGTAATTTGAAAGTTTAATAAAACAATGAAAAGTAGTAAAAACGAAAGAAGATGTTTATGAAGACACCATATTGAAAATGGACTGATGATTGTAATATAAATCCTTGAATGCTGTTTTTTTTCATATAACAGTGAAAGGGGGTGCACCGTTCCTGGAGGTACTGCAATACCAGGTCGATGCGTGGAGTGGACAGAGCAAGCCCCTATTCCATCTCCCTGTTCCAAAAATCAATTTAATATATGGTCCCCGGGTAGGGGACGTATCAGATATTAAACTGATAAGAACAGATTTTTTTTGTGAAGTTGATACTTTAATCATTCACCATACAGTCCATCTGCTCCATCACATGACATAATCATAAAGCAGCTTCTGTTCAGAAACCAGAATGGTGGTGAATCTATGAGGAGTTTGCTCATGCCTCAGTTATGGGAAAGGTAACATGAAAATGGGTCTCAACAGTTTAGTCTCTGTGTGTCTTGAATTGTAGAAGTTCCAAAGTTAAACAAACTGAATGGTTATACTGGCATTACCATTTCACAGATTACTTAAATAATTCATATCATCTTTGCTTGTAAAAAAAAAAAAAAAAAAAAAAAATCACCTTTAACACAGAAAAACAACATACTGCTAAACAAAAATACGAACACCCAGTCAGAGTCCCCGAACATTAGACTTCCCCTCTTCCTTCATATGGTTTTTCCATCATTCTTTTTACTTCCATTCTTCTTTTTTGTCGTTTCTTCATTGATCTCTCCATCATGTTGATCAGTTTGTGTCATCTGTTTGTAAATTCAAAGAGCAGTCTATGATCTGTCACATTCACATCCCTCGTTTCGTATTTACCTAGTCTCAGGCAGAACAGCTACAACTTTCAGGCTTCCTTTTTGCATTCATTTCAAACCACCGAGTGCTCATTGTGATGGTGATGGACGCCGCCAGCGCCCAGCACCGTGTGGTTGACCGAAGACGCCGAGCGGTCGGATCCGTCCACCACCGCCCCATTGACGTTCTCCTGCCGCTGGCAGCACAAGATCTGCTTGAAGGTGGCGCTCATCTCCTTGTCCCGGTATGAGTAGATGATAGGATTCATAGCCGAGTTGAACTCGGCAAGGAGCAGGAAGAACTTCTCATAGTTGAGGACGGTGCAGCTGGAGCAGAAGACATCGAGAAGTATGAGGACTAAGCCTGGGGTCCAACAGATTATAAAGGCACCCAACACAATGACCACAGTTTTGAGCAGAGACATCATTGTGTCTCGGTTGCGTCGTGGGCCAGAGCTGTGCCGCGACATCCTCATGGTTCTCTGTCGCACATAGACAAAAATGTGGGCATAAAGAGTCACCATCACGACAAACGTCACCAGGTTAAACACTGCCCAGAAGATCAAGTAGGAGTTGCTGTAAAGCGGTGCCATACTGGAGCAACTTTGCAGGGCGCAGATACAGTTCCAGCCCAAACTGGGGATTGCCCCCATCACTATGGACATAGTCCAGATTATAACGATCACCACCACTACACGTCGGTTGCTCATACGCGTATGTAGCTGCATGCGGAAGACAGTGATGTGACGCTCTATGGCGATGGCAAGCAGGTTGGCCACCGAAGCTGTAAGACTGGTATCGATCAAGCCTTGACGCAACAGCCATGTTGAAACACTCAGCCACCTTGTGTTTGGTCCTGTGTTGAACATTAAGTACAAGTAGGCCAGTCCAGCAAAAAAGTCAGCAGCCGCCAGGTTGGCCATCAGGTAGTAGATTGGGAAGTGGAATCTCCTGTTGATGTAGATGGCGACCATTACCAGAAGGTTGGCGAGCATGATGAAGATGCACACAGTGATGCCCAGACCCATCACCAGCCTGCTCACGGTGTTCCAGGTGGTAGCCAGGTGCTTTTCACTGCGGTTGTAGAAGAAGGCAATGGTCTCGTTGTAGTAGCACTGCTCTTCATCCATGATGGTGGTGATCGTTGAGCTTGATGATGTCCAGCGGGGGTGGGGGGGAAGGTTTAAGGTGGTTTGGGGATCCTGGATGTCCAAGTCAAGTTCGGTTCGAAAGCCCACTCTGCATGCGCAATTCCTCTGTCAAAGCCGCCGCAAATTGGACTCCAGATCCAATAAAGAGACAGGTAAACCTTTCATTTTAAGTCCAAATACCAACACAGTCCCCGCACTAACGCGTCCTATAAGTGCGTCAGAGTTTGTGTTACTTTTCCCGAGTCCTGCGCCGGTTCAGGATGCGGTCTGCTTGATGCTCTCCGCTCCGGCTCCGCGCCTCTCTGTGCAGGCGAGTCTCTCTCCTTCCCTCACTGAACGCCTGCCACACACAAACACACGCACACGCCTACACGCACGTCACACGCACTGTCACACGGAGCGCGAGAAGGGTCTGCACGTGACGTCACACACACACGCACTTGCACCGGGCAATGAAATAAACTGATGATTGTAACATAAGTCCTTGAATGCTGTTTTTTTTTTTCATATAACAGTGAAAGGGGGTGCACCGTTCCTGGAGGTACTGCAATACCAGGTCGATGCGTGGAGTGGACGGAGCAAGCCCCTATTCCATCTCCCTGTTCCAAAAATCAATTTAATATATGGTCCCCGGGTAGGGGACGTATCAGATATTAAACTGATAAGAACAGATTTTTTTTTTTTTTTTTTTTTTTTAAGTTTATTGTTACATTGGGACATTTTAAAATCATAACATTATGCTTTTATACAGAAGTCTTTTCCATTTCTCTTTTTAAAATATCACAATTTCAATTAAGTTAAACTAAAAGTAGGTAAGAACAAGGATAAAACCATCTCAGTTAAAAGTTGCACAGGACCGGGGTGACATCCTCAGAGTCATCCCGTCCCCCAAACAGTGATGGCACTCAGCGGGGGTCCCCCCTCATGCTCCTTCCCTCCAACCTCACCCGGAGAGCCAGGCCGACGCTGCCGTCCGTGAAGCTCCGGCTCCTCCGTCCACGGAGGCGCAGGCGATTCTTCTTGGTGGCTGTGTCCTTGGCTCGCCACCTGCAGCTCTTGATGTTTTCCTCTTCTCTGCCGCCATTCGGATCACAGCCACGGGTGTATCTGCCTGCGCCTGCTCACCAGCAGGTTTCTGGAGGTCCAGATGGCGTCTTTGATGGTGGCGAGGGTGAGCCACATCTCTGCAAAGTCTTTTCTTGTTATTTTCTGTTGGCTCACCCCGTACAGCACGAGCTGTGCATTGAGGACCTCCCCTGCTGGCAAGTGTGGGAATTGCGAGGAGCCGGCCGTTGCCACAGGTCCTCAGCAGCGCTGCACTCCCACAGCAGGTGCCTCACCGACTCCGGCGCGCCACAACCGGGTCGGGGGCAGATGGACGTTGCGGACATGCCGCGGGAGTGCATGACGGCTCTGACCGGGAGGATCCCATGAGCCGCCATCCATGACATGTCCTGGAGTCTGTTTGGGAGGACGGGGTGACTCACGTTGCGCCATACCGTGGTGGCGTCCCCATACAGGAGCCCGCACACTGGAGTCACTGGTTCCCGGTCCTGCAAACGATGATTAGTTAAAATCCTGCTCTCCTCTCCCTCCAGTTTAAAATGTTCTAAAAATCTTTGTATAAAAGCATAAAACGGTGGGAGGTTAAAAGCCACAGGGGTTCTAAAATCACTTTTTAGAAGTTTTAATTTTCTTAAATATGATCCCATCCAAAACCTTGTCATAGCATTTGACTTTTCATTTGTGGAGACGTTTAAAGCTTGTTTAAAATGCGTGCTGGTATAAAAGCTGCCTAGAAATAAAAACAGATCTGGAACTCCTTTCCCTCCCTTTTCTTTCGGTTTAAACATTATGTCTCTTTTCAATCTTTCCCACTTGGAGTTCCAGATGAAATAAAAAATGGCTCTTTGCAGCGCTAAAAACACTCTCCTAGGAGGGATAAAAACAGAACTGGTTAGTAAAAACAGGGGTAAAATCACATCTTTGACTATTAAAATCTTTCCTTCTATTGTTAAGCTTCTCATTTCCCAAAACCCCAGTCTTTGTTTTACTCTTTTTATTATATCCGTCCAGTTTGTCTCTCCCCCTCCGTTTTTGTCAAATTTTACTCCTAGTATTTTTTGTTCTTCTTGTATCTGTAGTTGTATTTTTGTCTTGTCACTATTTTTCCATGGGCCGTAAAATTGTGCTTTCGTTTTTTCTTTGTTTAGTTTTGACCCCGACGCCTTCCCAAACCATTCAGTTAACTGTAAAACCCTCTCCACTGATAAAAGATCTGTACATAAAATGTTAAAATCATCCATATATAAAAGACATTTGGCTTCCTGCCCTCCACTCCCCGGTATCTTGACTCCTAAAATCTGTGGGTCCCTTCTCAAGACCTGCGCCAGCGGCTCGATGCAGGCCACGTAGAGGAGGGCAGATAACGGACACCCCTGACGGACACCGCAGTTCACTTTCACTGCTTTTGTCAAAAACCCGTTAACTAGAAATCTGCTGGAGATATCTCGGTACAGCAGTCCCACCCACGCTACGAACCTCCCTGGAAATCCCATTTTTCGCAGTACCTGGAAAAGGTACTGGTGCGAGACCCGATCAAAAGCTTTCTCAAAATCTAAATTTAGGACTATCAGCCGAATGTTTCTGTCTCTCGCAAAACAGATGGTGTCTCGGATCAGTACCAGGCTGTCCGTGATCTTCCTCCCTGGCACGGCGCAGGCTTGATCCGGGTGGATTAGATCCCCCAACACTCGGCGCATCCTAGCTGCTAAAATCTTGCTAAAAAGCTTACAATCTACGTTTAAAAGTGTGATGGGCCTCCAGTTTTTTAAGTCCGTTTTGTCTTTATCTTTATGTAAAAGTGTCACTATTCCTGTTCTGAAAATCCGTAAAACCGGGGAGTGTGTCTAGTTTGCTAAAATCCGTAAAAACAACAATTAAATCTGGTGCTAAAATGTCCCAAAAAGTCAGATAAAATTCTAAAGGAGAGTCCATCAGAGCCTGGAGATTTTCCTCTTTTAAAGCCCTTCAATGATTCTAAAAGCTCTAAAAGGGTAAAATCCTGCTCTAAAAAACTACTTTCTGTGATACTTTTTTCAATAAAATCCAAGGTTTCTTTTATGTTGTCTTCGTTTACTGCTTTTTCTGCATATAATTCACCATAAAATGTTTCAATTACTTTCTTCTTTTCCTCTATCTCCGTTACTATGTTGTCATTGTTTGATTTCAGTTCAGGAATAAAACTTGGATTATTTATTATTTTCTTAAAAAAGTATCTGGTACATTTTTCTCCTTCTTCTATTTCTCTTTCTCTACTTCTTAAAATGACTCCCTTACTCTTTATTTCTGCTAAAATACTCATTTCTTGTTTTACTTCTCGTATTTCTTTATTAAAATCAAAACCATGTTGATTTAAAAAATAATACCTTTGTAATCTCTTCTGCAGCCCCATCATGCATCTCTGTTCTTTCTTCTTTTTATTTTTCCCTGCCAGTCGGAAGAAAGTCTGGGTCCTACCCTTCACCATCTCCCACCACTGTGCTCGTGTATCGTACAGGTCTTGGAGGGTCTGCCACTCACGGTACCGCTCCCGGTACTGGCCGACCAGAACCTGGTCTTCCAGCAGGGAGCGGTTGAGTTTCCACAGACCTCTCCCTGTCTTCGCACCTGAAGGGAGTGAAAGCGTGCAGGACAGAAGGAGGTGATCGGAAAAGAAAACCGGTGACAATCTAGCATCGGTTAGGGCGCAATCCCTGATGAAGAAATAATCAATGCGAGAGGCTTTAGAGCTGTCATCACTGACCCAGGTGAAGCCCTCCTCTCCAGGATGCATAGTTCTAAAACAGTCCGTCAATTTTAAATCCCTAACTATTCTTTGTAATAAAAGCGATGTTTTATCAAACTTAAAATCCTGCTTGTCTCTTTTCCTATCTTTTCTCGTTAAAATGCAATTAAAATCCCCCCAACTATTAAAGGCTTTCTTCCTAGCATGTGGGGCTGCAGTTCCTCTAAAAAGTCGTACCTGTCGTGCTTGTCGCTAAAACCATAAATATTTAAGAGGTTAAAATCCTGTCCGTTAAAAGTCAGATTTGCTAAAAGTGCTCGTCCTTCTTTCACCACAGTGTTGCCCTTCACCAAGATGTGTGGGTTGTTAATTAAAATGGCCACACCATCATTTTTATTTTCGTTTGAGCCGCTCCATATTGACGGTCGTGGCCATAAATCCTGCCACCGGGTGTAGTTCTTTAAAAACGGGAGTGCACATTCTTGTAGTAAAAACACATCCGACTGAACGGAGCTTAAAAAGGATAAAACACTCTGCGCTCTAACTCGCGACTTCACACTTCTAACATTTATGGTTGAGAAGGTGAAAGCCATGAGTATTATGGTTAAAAACAGGTAAGACATTTTAAAGGAATAAAACAGTTGTATCAGTACGAACGGGCGTGACCTTAATTAGCGTCTTGCTCAGAGACTGTCCTGTGGACGGAGCTCGTCCTCCGCCCCGTATGGGTGTACGGGGCAGGCCGGAGCTCCGGTCCCCCTCCGGACTCTCGGGTTTGGTCTTTTTTCTAAAGCCGGTACCTTATTTGGGTCCTTCGGGGTTGATTGGTGAGCAAGTTCTAAAAAGGAGGCCTGGCTGTATGAGTCCGAGGGGGAGAACATGGATTCCTCCCCGAGTGAGCCGAAGAGTTCCTCCAATCTCCCCCTCTTCTCCGCCATGTTGGTGACGTCGGGCGGGGATTCCGATGCCGGCCTCTTGGCCAGCTGGGCGTCGGGGAGAGGGGCATCATCGCTACTGTCCGTCTGGGACTCTTCAGGATCCAAGCTAGCTCCGCCTTCGGTCTGCATCTCCCCCTCCTCGCTAGGTGTTTCGAGCTGGGGGAGGGGGGCTTCCTTCCTCTCCCCGTTTCCCGCCAGTTCCTCCTCTCCTCCTCCAATCAGAGGGCTTGGCGGGAAATTTGAATTTTCCGGCCCAGCAAAGCCGACTTGCTCCGTTACATTTCCTATTTCTGTAACTTTACCTTTCTTTAGTTTATTCGCAAACGATTTTGGACAGTCTCTGAACAAATGGTCCTGTTCTCCGCACAAATTACATTTCCGCCCGTTCGTACATTCCTCAAAAGTGTGTCCCACCTCTCTACACTTACCGCAGAAGACTTTATCGCAAGTTTCGGCCAGATGACCGTGTTCGCCGCACTTTCTACATAACTTCGGTTGGCCCTGGTAATGAATGTAGCCTCTGTTCTCCCCCAGGACTATCATGGATGGGAGATGTTTCAGGCCCTGGAAGCCCTGGGGGTCTTCCCATTGTTTAATGGGGACCCTCCAAGCGCAATTCCAGATGCCGTCCGCATCCCGCACCTTCATAGCCTGGCCTTTCACAGTGCAAAATCTACCCAGCCACATACAGATGTCTTCGGCACTGACAGTCTCATTGAACATCCTGACAATCACCGTTTTCAGGGAGTTGTCAGTCAGTTTCTCGACGTCAAATGCCAAAAACTGGGTTTTCGCGTTCTCGAAGCGGGTCCAAAAATCTTTTAAAAGTGCGGCGGAAGCAAAACTGAGGTCGTATCCCTTGTTGAAAGGCAGGGTAAGGATACAATTCAGGTCATCTGGCCGAAACTTTAGCGTTTGCTGAATCAATTTTCTGGAGAAATCCAATCTCGTCAGTCCGGTGTCCTTTCCTCGGTCGTTAAATAAAAAGCGGACGCTGTGGTGCCTCCGCATGCCGGCATGGCTAGCCGCCATGGTGGAGGCACCACCCGTGAGAGGAAACGGTAAAAACTTTACAAAAATCCAACAAATAAATAAATAGTCAATAAATAAATAAATAAATAAATAAATAGCACAGTAAAAACGCGAATAAAATCGACCTAAAAGGATGAGGTATTTTGCACTAGAGTAGCGGAAAACAACTCAACCTGGGACAGGTTCTATTTACCTCAAATCAGTGATAACAGCCAAGTCACAAAGACTACCGCTATCACCACCCAACGGAGGCGATCGCTGATCTTAGCCAAAAGGCCGAGAAGCGATAACCCATTTAACTGGGGAGGAAACCATATAAATCTCGTACACTCCATTCTGGCTAACGGTTTACAAATTTTGACATCTTATCACTGACAAAACAAGCAGTGCAAATAGAAAGTATTATTTATAAATCACTGATGTTGATTTGCAGTGGTAAATAAAAATGAATGAGCCACATCAAACTACAAACTCGCATGGAAAACTAAACGATGTGGTTTGTTTCTGGTCACATGACATGCCTAAAGCCAATAGGAAGCCTGAAGGATGAAAGTCGTTTAAAGAAAAACACTACCTTACATAAAAGCTTAAACATTAGCAAAGCTGTGATACCCAATGGCTGCTATTCATGCCATTGGATTTACATTTGAATACAATGAATACAACTGTGCGATAGAAATGAATGAAGCCTTTCACGGTTTTTGGCTCTAAACAATGAGCTTACAGCGCTCTCTAGTGGAGAGTTAGAGTCTCTTCAGCAAAAAACTGATACTACTAATTGTCAACACTAAGACAACTAGATGAGGGCAAGAAAAAGTCTCAATGCAGAAAAATAAATTGTGAGGGGAGGGAAGTAGTTCAGTTAAGCTAGTTTTACTTTGACAGTCTTATCATTTGTTTTGGTTCACATGCAAAATAATAGAAAGACAAACTATTGACCAACTCTGACAGTAGATCAGATCAGCTAATTTACCACAGAGATCGCTTATTAATAATCACAAAACTTCGTATAATTATAACAAAGATTCTTTTGTCAATATTTTTTTATATTTTATGTTTGTGTTTATTTATATTTCACAATCTCACACACGACTGTATTTCAAAATAATATAAAGATAAAAACTAGCCAGTAGTTTTTTTTTAAATTATACATTAACATTAGTCAGAAACGACCAGAGGAGAACGACGAGAGACACAGATAAAACTTCTTATCCCAGACTTCACTCGTCTTTTCACTACGTCATCCGCCCGCGTCCGCCGTTCTGTTTTGCTTCCTGGACGCACGTGAGTCGAACCACCTTGCCACGGCGCTCCCTTCCCAAGAAACTTCACTGCAGCTTCGTGCAGCATTCTTCGTTCTCACGCACATTTATTTATTTCTAGCCAGTTTTTTTTCTTTTCTTGACAGGAATCGAGAAAAACAAACAAAAAAATGTTTAATGAGGACGAGGACTGGAGTGACGAACAAGAGGGACGAATCCTGAGCAAAGCTGTCTTCAAAACGTCCCCGAAGGCGAACAGCAGCCTACATCTACAGGTAAACACTTCATAGTTTTAATAGTTTATTAGTTTCTACTTGTGATAAATTTCCCTTCTTAAAAAAGAGGAAGACTTGTAATTGTCCTCTCTGTCTCGGTCAGTCCAGTGTTGGGAGGAAGAGTCTGCTGCGGACCCTGGAGACTCTGGGGTCAACACCAGACTGGAGGAGAGGCGAGCAGGAGCAGGACAGCGGCAGTGAGACAGAGGTCCCTTCATCACCCAGCAAGAAGAAGAGGAAGAAAAGGAGGAAACACGGAGAGCAGTCAGAGGAGAGGCAGGAAGGAGGAGACGAACCTCAAGCTGTCAAAGAGAAACCTGAGCTGAAGAAGAAGAAGAGGGAAAACAAACCAGAGTTACTAACTGGTTAGTAACTCTTAGGATGCAGTCGGACTAGGACTGCATTTATTGGGATGAGTGAAAAATTCATCTTTCATTGCGGCAGCATGATTTCACACAGATAAAGTTGGAAAAAGTGTCGTCATTGGGGAGCAAAAGTTCTGTCCCTGGTTTAAACTTTATGTCAGAGCTTATGAACCACAAATAACTGCTGAACTTTAGATTTAGACAATTGAATAACAACAACTGATCTCTTAGTAATGTTCTAACATTTTTTTTAGTCAATTGACAATTGGCACTGGTGTGCAGTTTTTTAAATCAACAGATTCATTTTTGTTAGTTTGCGAGTTTCCTGCTGTAATAAAAGAGCAGTTTGCATTAAGGCTCTTTAACAGGGTTGTCAAAAATGCGGGCAGCTCTGTACATTTTTGCAAAGCTGTTAAAGAGAAAAACAGTCACACAACACATGAATAATCCTTCATACCCAAACTTTTCCTTGGGCTCCTATAAAATGTTTAAATTTCCACATTCTGTACCATTCTTGAGTGAAGAAGTGATTCATTTGTTTTGTTTTGTTTGTTTTTTCTGAAGTAGCCCCAAAAGCACCAAGGATGCCTTCAGGGGAGACAGAAGTTGAAAAAGTTCCAGAACCTTCGCTAGAGACTGTAGACAAACATCAAGGCCTAGAGAGGCTGAGCAGGCAGCAGTGGAGAAACAAGATGAAGAATAAGAAGAGATCCAAGAACAAGTTCCGCCAGAACAAACCCGAGGACGCTGCAGACGGAGCTCGAACCGCCGATAAACGGGAACCAACAGAAGACGTCAAAAAAGATCCACACAACGGGGAAAACCTCAGCAAGATGGCAAACCGGAAACGAAAGAAGGAGAAGGTGAAAAGGACGAACACGGAGAGAGAGGCAGACGGACGCAGCGCGGTGAGAGGGCGAAACCAGCCGGAGAAGTTAAAAAGTGGACCTGAAGGCTCTGCTGAGGGATTAGAACACGGAGCAGGTGAAGTTCTGGTGGCGAGCACCGACCGACAGAAACCCGAGCTGAGCAGGGAGCGGAGTCTGAAAAGGCAGAAGCTGCAGAAGATCCTCCTCCGCCAGGAAAGGGTCAGCGCCGAGGGTCCAGCAGAGAGGACGGAGATGGAGGCGGCGGTTCCGGTGGCGGCGGTTCCGGTGGCGGCGGTTCCGGTGGCGGCGGTTCCGGAGGCGGCGGTCCCGGCGGCGGAGCAGAGCCGCTCCGACTCCCTCAGGTCCCGCATGGAGCAGCGCCTGGAGGCGGCGCGCTTCCGCTACATCAACGAGCGTCTGTACAGCACGGCGAGCGGCGAGGCCAGGCGCATGTTCCAGCAGGACCCAGAGGCATTCTGGGTGTACCACAGAGGATACACGGCACAGGTCCAGAGGTGGCCCGCCAACCCGCTGGACGCCATCATCGCTTACATCCACAAGAGGTCAGAGCTATTCATCCACCCATTCACTCTTCAGCCATCCATTCACCATCCATTCACCATCCATCTATTGCTTTGATTTGATCATATCAGTTTGTCCATCAAATGCACGGAAAAAATACGACTTTATAACCAAATTGCGACTTAACATCCCAAAATAAAGAGTCACTGTTTTTAAGTAAAAGAAAAAAATCAAATTTATATATATATATATATTATATATATATATAAGTGTTCTTTAAGAACATTTGCTGTAAATAAATAACTGCTGCAGACGTAGCTCTGCTCTGCTCTGTGAAAGTGATGCTTTTATTGTTCCCCGCTGTGAGGAAACTGCCTTCATCAACAGCAGAGGGAAAAACAGTTTCACAAAGACCATTCTTGTTCAAAGAAAGCAGATTTTATTCATTTACTTTCTTTTGATTATAATTTGCTGCAGGTCACCTTCCCTGGTGGTGGCGGACTTCGGATGCGGTGACTGTAAGATCGCGCGCAGCGTGAAGAACAAAGTGCACAGCTTTGACCTGGCTGCCGCCTGTGACCTCGTCACCGTCTGTGACATGGCCAAAGTGAGTCGGCTGCCGTCTCTCTCTCTCTCTCTCTCTCTGTGTTTTTCTCGTGTGTAAACATGCAGCTTGCCCGTGCAGGTGCCTCTCGGTGACGGCTCTGTGGACATCGCCGTGTTCTGCTTGTCCCTCATGGGGACCAACCTGGTGGAATTCCTGGCAGAAGCCAACCGCGTCTTGAAAATGAGGTAAACGAGGGAAAGTTGATTGTACATGTCAGCGTTAGCCTTGCCGTCATATTTAAACCACTTGGACTTCTCCACGTTTTGTCGCCTTACAACTACGTAACGTGGCTTATGCAGTGCATCGTTTCTAAATTGAGGCGTTTTTAAGCTTTTATTTAAAATAAAAAAAAAGAAAAAGTGTGACTTTTATTTGCATCTTGTTCTTTTGAGTCGATGCTACATAGAACGGCATTGTAAAGCCGCAAATTGCAGAATGTCTCTCTGCCAGCTTTGCATATCTAAACATTGTGAATTGTCACCCAGTGTTGATTGGATTTACTTCACACTCAGTCAAATTCATTGACAGACTCATCAAGGAATCCAGTAATCGATTAATCGTCACCTGCAGTGTACAAACTCAAACATGAAAGAACAGCACAGTCAAAACAGTAAACTAACTATACAAAAATATAAATACACATTTTGCATTCAAGATATAAAAAGGAAAACCTTCACTTGTCAGTGAATAGAGCTGTGCAAAAACTGAAGCTTCAAATTCTGCAAAAAAGGGAAAAAAAAAATCTCCTATTTAGATCCTTTTACTATCCAGTTATACAGGTGACACATAGATGTTTGCGGTCGTACCTTTCACCTGCAAATTATTAGTAAGGTTAGCAGTTTTGCATGAATCTATTTTGGTATGTTTACATTTTTTTATGTCCAATCATTCCAGGGGCGTCCTGAAAGTTGCAGAAGTCGCGAGCCGATTCGACAACGTGCAGAGCTTCACCTCTGCACTCGCAGGCCTGGGTTTTAAGTTGACATCCAAGGTGAGGACTCGAACATCTCAAATGTGATGTTAGAAACAAAAAAAATGTCTTTCTGTGCCAAGACTTTATCACATAGTGAAGGCACGCGGCATGAGCTGGTGGCTGTCTGCAGCATTTTTTAAAAAAATTTGATCATTTGTAGCGTGTGGCGCAGCGGGCAGGAAACCACCAGCTGAAAAGAACATTACGTGAACTGGTTTATCATTGGCAACAAACAGATGGTTAAATGCAGTGAGCTTAGATAACCTGCAACTCATTCAGATCAAGATTTTGAGCGTGTCAGCATCTCGAGTTTAGGTAAAAAGCTGCGGAAATAACTGTCTCGTCTTTTTTTTTCTTCTTTCTTTTAGGATACAGAAAACAGTCACTTCTTCTCCTTCCAGTTTGTGAAGACAGGAAATGTTCCCCAAAACGTGAAGAAATTGAGACTGCAGTTAAAGCCTTGTCTGTACAAGAAAAGATGAGGACAGTGGAGAAGTCGATGTGTAAAATGTTGCTGGACGTCAGCAGGTCATTTGACTGACCGAACCTCTGGGCTTCCTGTAGTCGGCAGGACTACAGGCGGACGATTGGCTGCAGTTTCGATACAGAAACAGAAAATGACCCCAAACTCTTCATATTTAGTTTCCTTTTACTAATGTATTGGTGGAATGTGTCTTTGACCTGAAGAAACCCAAAAACGCAGGCTGGCATAAACTGAAGAAAAGCCAAACTTCCTTTGTGTTTAACTAAAACGCTACAGCTGGTATTCAACCAAGACTGCACAAACATTTCATGTTACAAAAAGATTTGTAAACACAGAATAAATATCTGCCATTATTGTTTTCTGGTTCAACCTGTTTAAATTAAGTAATTTGAAGCCATTTCATTCTATCCTTATTAGATATTTGCTGAAATGATCATTCAGATGGTTTTAAGTTTTTAAGACATTTCATGTATATTCTGTTCCTTTTTCTTGTTTGTTTGAAAAGTTTATTACAAATAACTTCTGAAACAAATTTGTTTTTCATGTATTTTTTTAAATTGTCTTAATTTTTTCTTTTAAGTCATTTGAGAAAACCAAAGCTGAGTTATTTGAACAGATTCACCTGCAGAAATATTTTCTACTGCAGGACGGAGAAACGATGCTCCTGCCTTGTATAAAGTCATTTTCATGGACTTTATAGCACAACCAAGTAACCACGTTAGCTTCAGTTTGTTATGTACCAAACAAACTTAAAAAACCGGACCTCTCTTTTCGAGAAGCTCCCTCGCTTTCTGACTTCAGGAAGTCTTCATCACACCAGTGCTTCTGTGATTCTTCTCATTCAGCAACCTAAAAATCCCCCAGTGGATAATGTGAACAAGTGTGCATGAATATAGATTAAAAATAAAAAACTTCAGGAACAAATTGCATTGAAATGTTCAGTTTAACTTTTTTTTTATTGCCATAAAAAACAAGAAAATATAAAATTGAATGCAAAGTTCAAGTTAGGCTTAGAAAAAGTGCCGACTCGTTGCTGTTTAAACCATTAATGCTACAAATGTCAGTGCATATTCAATTTCATATCAAATGCTACATTTTCACACACAAAAAACCCACACAGTGCTGCAGTTGGACGTTAAATGCACAGTTCAAGCTAAATGAGATGTAAAAATTCTCCGACTTCTCCTCACACTGTACTCTTGGCGTCAAAGACTATGGCGAAGCTGGTCAGCTGAGCATACTCCTTACTGCCGTCCATCCCTGCCAGTGGCTTCCTGACCTCCGGTGAACCCGGTTCATGCATGAGACTCGTCAAGGCTGAGACGGACTCCCGTTCCTTTGTTACCAAGGTCAAACACAAAAACAGGAGTTATAAGACGAAAGCTTTCGAAAACGTGAAAAACAAATAATAAGATGTTTAAATGTACCTTATATGGTGTCTTCTTTCTTTTACTGCAAAACCAGAAAAAGGCAACTTAGAAAAAGTTTATTTTCAGCTAGTGGCGCCACACAGCCACTAGATGGCGGTGTGGTATAATTGTGAGCTCAGAATCATTTCAGACGGCTGACTTGGTGGCAGTGCACGCAGCATGAATTTTAGCAGATGGAAAATTGGCCCAACTCTTTGTCACTGAACTCTGAGAAGCAGCTTCCTTCGTCTTTGATCGTAGCCTGGAGAAGGAGCTGCGCTGTCATGCTCTCCCGAGTCGGTGTGGAAGGTCAGGAGGCCTGAGGTAAACTCAAAATAACTTTTCTCCTGTTTTTCTTCTTGTTCGCCGGGTGACTGACCTTCCAAAATTAGCCTGCCGGCATCATCCCACGGATAATGAGACAGCTCCAATCCAAGTGTTGGAGCAGAAGTCACAAACTTATTGAAACAAGCTATAAATCTCTCATGTAGCCTTATTTTCTAAATGTGAGTCCCACAAATCTCTCATTGTTAGAAAGTATACGAACCTCTGCAGGTAGAAAACACAAACAGCGTTTTCAACTATGACTGACCCAACTTTTCCCAGCAGTGGCATAAAAAATCAAAATCATGTCAAGGCTGATGTACAAACAGCTTGAATGACATTACCTTCTGGTAATGGCCCAGAAGTGAAATAACTTTAAGCTTCCTAAAACCCAGCGCAGGAAACTAGAAAATAAATCTGTTTTTGCACTGCGCCGAACAATTTCTACCTGACTAGAGCAAGCGGAGACTGCGGTGGCACAGGCACCTGTCTGCTTCACCCACAGCCTTCCTGTTTGTGAATAACGACACTGGAGTGGTTGGCTGGTGAGTTGGGTTAACGATCCACACATCCTGTTTGTCTCACATTGTACTGAACGTACTGAGTTGGCAGCGCTGCCCTCGTTTGCGCGTCGCCTGCCGAGCCGACGCCTGCGGGACTCACCAGCAAACGCAGAGGATGACGGTGAAGACGATAAGGATTGCAGAGGCTGAGGAGATGCAGATCAGGACGACCGGCACTGCAACACACAACCACGGTTATCGGACATCTCAACAAGGCAACCAGATAGCATCAGGGGTTCTTGACTAAGTGTGTTAGGGAGCACCAGCACTTACCGAACTGTTCGCTCTCTCTCAGGACTTCCACTTGAAAGCTGACAGACGCTGTGTGATGGTAAAAAGAAGCAAAGCAGATGTACAGGCCTTTATTCTGCCCCGACTGAAGGATCACTGCAGCCCCGTCCAGTTGAACAATTGAGCCATCACTCCTAAAACACACACAATGCTAAAATTTAGGGTGAAACATTTTATTAACATTTTCGATGGCTAACAAAAGAGCTAGCAGGGAGGCAGCTATCTTTGTCACTTAGGGGAACAAAAACACCTGAGAAACTCTGCCTTTTTTTATCCGTTCTTTGGGTTTTTTTACTTTGACATCAAGCCTACAACAAGAGAGAGTAAACAGTTGTGTGTTGAAATGCAATGTAGCTAGTTAGCAAAATACTCCCTAGCAACATAGCTTGTCTGGGCACCAGATTGCATGCATGCTCTCATGGTAAATTGATAATTAGGTGAAGGTAGAGAGGTATTTCCACATGTCTTGCAACAACATTGAGGAAAAAGTTGAGCACACAAAGGTATGATTACCCATCAGTCATCACCATGGTGAAGGCTACCAAGAGGTCAATTTGACCTCGTCTATCATCAATTAATAGCTACAATATAAATCTGTTTTTAAATCATTGTTTTTATCTTGAGAATTGCACCCACATTTTTTTGTACAATGGTTGATTGTTACAATGACAGTAAAGATTCTATTGTGATTTATGTAGTAGTATTTACTGAGGTGGTACTTATGAGTATGTTTCAGAGCCTCCACAGCAAAGAGATAAACCACCTTCGACAATCAAGGCTGTAATCCGGCACGTTTCCTTCAACTCCGAGCAGCACTTTCTGGTTGGGTCGATTCTCGTAGGCGGACACTCTGTACACAACAGGCTGATCGGCGTAGCGGCTCTTCAGGGTGTTCGTGTTGTTCAGGACTTTTACAGAGGAGATATCTGCAGAAACATGAGATGAACATCAAGCATCTTAAGAACAACCTCTGCATTGGTGTTCTTATGACCCTCAGTTGCACTCACGGTATTTCGGGATGCGAAGAGTCGTATATTGTGTGACCCCGTTGTCAGATTGGTACACACAGGTCAGGTTGTGGCCCTCGTGAAGGACCAGAGGGAACTGATAAGTCACCTTTATGTGTCCTTTGTGTCTCGTGTGCCGGATTGTTTCACCTGTGGCTTTTGTAGGCAGGGTCCATGCAAGGTTTGAGTCAACGCAATCCCCCTTGCAGTTGCACACTGCCAGCCAGTGAAGGGAGTCTTGCTGTCTCACCACAGACGCACTGAGCCGAGGGGGTTCTGAAAAAGAAAAGAGCAGTGGCAGGAAGGAGGTGAGCAGCAGTTTTGGGACTTTATTTGTCAAGGAAAAACAGTCATCAGAGGAAAAAGTTGGCATACTTTGCAGCGGAATGCGTATTGTTCTTTCTTCTGGACTCTCCAAACTTGCATGTTTCACGGTGCAAGTAAAGTTCTGACCGGCATAAAGAGAGGTCAGGAAAAACACAGAGCTCCAGGTTGATACCAAGCCTTCGGCCTGAAATTCAGATTTTGTCGAATGACTGATGTTGTCGTTTTTGTCTCCGGTGTGCCAGGCTACAGCTGCAGCAGAGGCAACACTGACAACAGAGCAGTTCATCTTAGAGTATTTCTGACCGCTTTCCCACTCAGAGCTGAGGCTGACGGTGATGTTTGGTCGAGCTGCGTGGGAAAAAAAAAAAAGAAGTCAAAAACAGGAAATGAGGTGTTTCCTCTGAGTAATTGATAGAATCCATGGTGTGTCAACGTAGCCAAATATGTGCCAAGTTATATATTGGCTGATTTGTAGAACATACCGCAAAGTGGGAGTGTTACACTTCTGTTCTGTGCTTCCTTAAATGCAGGGTGATTTATCACACACAACGCTGTGAGCTCCTGAGGCAAGCATGCAGGGAGGAGCAAAACCGAGTGAGTCCCATTATAAAAAGTGGAATTGGACCAAAAGTCTTCAGAATCAGCCTCTGGTAGAATCCAAGAAACACTGGCTGCAGGAACGGCGTCGGCCGCAGCGCACTCAATCATCCTGAATCCGCCTCCACTACGTGAATCGACTTTGATTGTGGGAGAAACTGAAAGAAAGAATGTGGCGAGAAAGATTCCACATCAAAATTTCTTGAGCAATACCGTGAAGATATAATGAAGAAAACCATTCGAAGTCAAATTAATCTTCTTTTCACCCACCCAGCAGTGGAGGTAGAGCTTTAACTGTGAGGTTAAACTGCAGCGTTGCTTTAAGGTGGAGGTAGGAGCAGTTGCATTCATACAGACCGGCATGCTGATGCTTCACCACACCTTGAATTGTGAGGTTTCTACCAACCAGCTCCACGTCTTCAGGCAAGGGCCCATCGTCTCTACAGGGCAGACACACAAAGACAAAAACAATGAGCTAGAAAGTACCCCTGGGTCAGGACATCTTTGTTTGATCACATCAGGTTCATTGGCAGAGCTGTCGTTGCTGCTCTCTGTTTCTCTCCGGGTTGGTCCACATTGTGTCTTCAGAGCTTTGTCCTGCGTGTTTCTGTGTTGCCCTGTGATGGACTGATAATCTGTCCATTAAGTACGCCGCCTTTCACCCAATCTCGACTGGAGATAGGCACACACTGTTCAAACTGTTGTTTGCATTGTCTTTGCTCTATTTGTTAATTTTGCGATCATTAAGTTATGCATTATAGTTGCTGCAAATTCTTCTTTTTGTTTTCTCCTCTGTTATCTTTTAGGATCTCACGAGAAATTGAGTAAACAACGAAATGAGTTTTTTTTTTTTAAAAACACCAGAATCTGGTTCCTACTGTCTGTCACTTGTGGTTTGATGCCACCAAATGTTTCACCACATCCTTTCCAGGATGTCTATGTTGTGTCAGTTCACGTGTGTGTATATGGAAAATATTATTCAGTTGTGCAACTTTTACCCAATATTTAATCACCGCATTGAAATTAAAAGCTGTTACAGACATAATAACTTACAGGAGAAAAAAAACCTTTCTAGAGTTTAATATTGCAACAAAATCAGACAAATTTAGATATTTTTTGAAAGGTACTCTATGATGCATCAATAGAAATTCAGGGTTTGTAAATAAAGGCAAATGCTAAAAAAGAAACACTACAAACTCTCATGCACTGACCTCTGTTTGCTTGCGTCTAAATAACAAGCTGTTAGATCATTATATTGCCGCAGTTTAACCTGAAGCTTATGTTGTATCATGAGATTAATGAAGCGCCTCCGTATCACCGAATACCTCTTACTTTTTACAGATAACGGTGTAGCGTGGCACATTCCCCGCGACCTCCAGGCTGATGATAACGCCGCCGTCTCCCTCGTGAAGCTCTAAAAATTCAGCCTCTTTCAAGTCTTCACCGCTGCTGCTTCTCAGATCTGAGCGGAGCTGAACTCCGGACAAGTCTACGGACAGAACAAAAGCGTTTCTCGTTTCTGCTTCGCCACATTAGAAACAAAGCGGTCCTGATTCTGAGGCTCGGTGCTCACACAAAGTGGGCAGGGTGACGGCTCTCGCCTCAGGGTGTGAGAACTTTGGGTGTTTAAACACACAGGTGACGTTGCGGCCCTCGTGCTCCGCCACAGGGAGCCGGACGGAGAGACTTCTCCCCTCTGACCTCTCGCCGCTCTCTCTTCGCACCTCTTCGCTCCCGTCCAAAGCCAGGGAGATGTCAGCGTCGGGTCTCCCTCCGGAAGAAACACAAGAGACCACCCAGAAATCGTTTCCTCCTTCTTGTACCATCTCTTCTTTAATCGTCACGTTTGGCCTCACTGAGAAGCAGGAAGACAAAGTATTTAAAAAAAATGGAAGAATTAGTTATCCTTTCTCCAACTGTCAGTGCTTTCTCCGGCAAATTAAAAAGTCAGAAAGGCTCTGTGGTGGTTCATGTTGAGTAGGAAGTTAGCGGCCCGGATGAGCAGCGAGTTAAGCAAACATGGGCCGAAAATGGAGTTGTGCCGAGGGGATCCTGTTTGTGTTTTAGAGCACAGACTTATGGGCTTATCACCTGTCCCATCTGCTGTCTTAAAGCTGCAGCTGAGCGCAGATGTCTGAAGCAGATGCTGTCCAACCAAAGCCAAGCAGAACTGCAGGTTTTAATACCAGGAAGTCAACAGGGCTGCAGTCTGTCATCAAATGTATTAAAAGTCGCTTCATGCAACACGCCGGCGTCCCTCATGAGCAGCAAAGGTGAGAAAACACTTCATAAGAGCTCAGGTGTTTGGGAGTTAACTCACTTCAGATCGAAAAACGTTCCATCCGTTAACACCTCCACCAAGCTACGTGTGATTTAACCACAGCAGTCAGAAAATGACCTCAGCACAAGTGTAAATTTATGGTAGACAAATGAGCTGCATGGCCGGGCCGGCGCTTTCCGTACAGCGCGCTGCATAAACAGTCACTGATGCAGTTTCGAGGTTCTGCGTGGCTTAAAGCGTGGACTGAAAAGCCTCTATGCAAAACCCAATGTGCCGAGGAAAACAAACACCGTATATCACCCTGAACACACCACCACATGGGAACATGGTGGGGCTGAACAAGGAGAAATCTTGAAAGAATTTCTGCTAGAGGGACAGTAGTACTTGATTTTCAGGCACATAGTATCTTCAGTTATTAGAAAAATTAAATATAGATATATATATATATATCTCAAACATGAGTTAAAATAAATTTTACTTAGTAAATGATTGCCTCTGTTAAAATGGGTCTCTGTCTCTTTAAGGAACTCCCGCTCTGTCACTCCATCTTTAGGAAGTCATTCTCTATTGGCCCTTTAAAGACATTTTCACCAGTGTTGCACTGAGAAGTAGCTCCTATAATGAACTCAGTTAATGTGCAGTTCCACCAGGTGTTTGCTAATTGTTGTTGGCTAGTCTGAAGGTGTTGAGTGGGGGGAATTGCAGGAGAGTGCTGCTTTTGGGACGCATGCTAGGAAACTCCATCAGGCGTTTGCACAGCTGAATGCTACAATGAAACGGTTTAGACCTGGAGTCTGCAACATTTACAGTCCTAAGAGCCATTTTTGCTCAAGTAAAACCTGTTGAGGGCCGTGAATGAGTATAAAAAAAAAAAAAGATGAATTAATGATGAAAATTATAGTTCTAAAAATATTACAGATACTTTTAGTGATGTTCCATTGCATTGCAGTTGGTTAAGCCGCAGGTTTCAGCTGCAAAAAAAAAACTGGGCAGGGCAGCTGTTTACCGTTTCAATGTGATGTAAAATTACAGTGATACAGACGCACATAACTTCCTTTTGTCTGCGTGTGTGTGTGCGCGCGAAGCACAACTGTTTGTGAGATTACCACCAGCTTTGAGGACTCAAATATTTGACATTTTTGAGGGTTAGCATTACAGCTGTGCACAACAGAGCATGTCTTTAATCAGGCGTAACTTCCATGTTTTCTTCCTCTGATCTCTTTGTAATGGCTGCAAGAAGGTCTCACTTCCTATTTCGGCGAGGGCTGCTTTGGTGAAAATCACCGGTCGCCTAATGCCACATATTGCACCTTCCCCCAGAATAAACATAAACATGAACATAATGATGGGTGTAAATCGGGCCTGAAGTAGCTTCATTTTTTGCACCTTCACTATTTCATTTAGGGATTTAGTTTTCCCCACATCATTAAAAATTATTTTCACACACACAAAAAAACATCAAACATCTTTAATGTTGATGTTTCTAGATTTGTTCTAAAACCCTCCATAAGGAGACAAAGCCAGGAAAGATGATTGCTGAAGAAGCTGATTGTTCACTGGCATGCTCATAGAAAGTTGAGTGGAAGGAAAACGTGAGTTAGAAAAAGATACACCCGCAACTGGGATGGCAGCAACCTTGAGAGGATTGTGGAGTAAAATCCTGACCCTTTCTTAACCCATCACCTCAGACCCCCACAGAACCATCCCTGTAAACATATTCACTGGCTCTAATAGATCAAACTGATTCCAGCTATTGTAACAAATAAGCGAAACATATTTCCACATAGCTCAACAGGTGTTCTTGAACTTCTGATTTGCAGGCACCCCTCCTTGTTCTGCTTTTAAATCGGTCACCAAAGCTCTGCACTGCACTATATCATTGTTTTTAAAACAGTTTTTCAGCTTTTCTTCCTGCTCCCTTTGCTCAAATTCGGTGAAATACTGCAATCCCACATGAACGCGCCGCAGTGCGCTGCGTGATTTATGGTCTGTCAGTGTGCGTGCGGGGCAGAGTGAAAGGGAACAGCAGGAGAAAGTTAAAGCGTTGTAAGCTGCTGAGTCACGGCGCTTGACGGCAAGCTTCTGACGCAACGCCTCGCGGCAGCAGGGCTGCGGCAAGACGCCGAGTGTCGCTGGCGGGGCGCGCGCGGCTTTAGACATATTCACCGTATGTTTCCACCCTGACGCTGCTGCGCTCGGGCTTCGGGAGGGTCTCGTGCCTGACCACGCAGGTGACGCTCTGCTCGTCCTGGAGGCGCGTGGGGAAGCGGAGGACGCTGCTCAGCGTGGACGTGCCGTTCAGGTGAGCCGCTTCGCGCTCGGTCACGGTGAAGGGGAAGCCCGAAGGAGGACGGCCGCCGACCAGCCAGTCGATGCGGGGCGTCGGCCTGCCGCCAACGGCGGAGCACGACACCGACTGGTAGTGAGTGCCGTTTATGGTCTCCGAGCTCACCGCCGTCTGAACCTCGGGTTTAGCTGCGGGCATTTAGAAGCAGGGTCAGCTTTAAACCGTTTCGTTTTAATATGCTGTCATTACAGCGTGGCATGAAACAGAGAGAGAGAGAGAGAGAGAGAGAGAGAGAGAGAGAGAGAACGAAGCTTCTCCACCTGCTTCATGTCTCGTGTCTTTTCCCTCCTTTCTTACCTTTTCAAATAAAAGTCCACAGAGTCGAAAAATGATTAATAAACAAGACAAAACAAACAAAAAATAAATAAAAAACTAAATGCACAGTCCTGCTCAAAACCATCCAATCAGCTAGGAGGGAGGTCTCAGCGCTGGCAGTCATGCTAATGTATGCGCTGCTAAATGTGCTAATGGCAGAGAAGCATCTTATCAGCTCCCTAGGACTGTAAAAAGTGTTAAAGAAGGAACAAAAAAATGCACCACTCCTGATCAAAAGCAACCAATCCAAGCCAGAAGGGAAGTCTTAGCGCTGTCAATCAAGCTTGTGTACATGCTGCTAAATGTTCTAATGGCAGGGGGGGAAAACCTGTGGGGTGGATTCCTATGGAGCTTGTGGTGACAATCACTGTCTCTCCACCAGTTAAGCAAATGGCAAACTTTGTGCACGTCAAATTCTGAGCCCGAACCCACAGCGACACAACAAAGCACAGTTGACAACGCTAAGACCCTCCTCCTGGCTCTGATTGGCTGTTTCTGACAGAGCAGCATGTTTGTTTGTTTTTTTCACAGACTGTCCCATCTTATATTCTACTGTCAGGACATAGTAATAATAATTTTAACAAACACGTAAAAACATATTTTATAAAAGTTACATACTGCAGCTTTAGAAGATGCTTCTTAAAGTTTGTCTCATTTGGGACTTTCTTCCACTTACCAAGCACAGTTACAAAGATGATGGAGAATGAATTCTCCTCCTCGTTCTCAAATTCACACATGTACTCTCCTTCTGCTTCCACGCTGGAGACCCTCATCCTGACCGTGAGGTTTTTGAGAGAGGCCGGTTCCGAGAAGTCCTCTCGGGTGAAAGGCTTCTGATTTGGTTGAGAAAATCTGACCAGTCGCCTGAATTTATTCTGAGAGTTGAGCTTGAGCTTCCACTCGGCCTTCTGGATCTGACCCGCGCCCAGATATTCACATCTCAGGTAGACGTCCTCCCCCAGGACTCCGGTGGCGTTGTGAGCAATCACAGTAGCCGGTTCTTCACCTGAACCTGAGACACAACGCAGCAACATGATCAGTCAAACGGAGAGGTCAGAAGTTCACGTGAACACACCTAGAAAAGAAGAACTGTTGTTCCGATGAACTGATGTTCACTCTGCCCCATGTAAGACCTTTCAGATTCTCAGTAATGAAACTGATAGATGAGTCACACTACTCATATTAAAGTGGTCTTTTGTTGTTTTATCGCGATCAAAATGTTCCAAGTTGCATGTCAATAGAAACGACAATACAAGGGCAGCGGGTGGCGATTGTGGTATGAACAAAGAAATATTTTCGTCAGCTTAATGTCGGTAACTATGGAATTTCAAATTCCCAATGAAAATATTCAGATGTTTTTTTTTAAGTTTGGCAAAAAAGTGATATCAGGTGGCAAAGTTGTAAACTGCAACAAACTACATTTGTTGCAGATCCTGCAGTCATGCCCCCTCGTACTCGGACATGTTTCACTACGCTGAGGTTCTTTGCGCGGACCCAATGCACACCTACGTAAAAAGGTACATTTTTACAGCCACGTGTACATGTCTGTGTCACCCGGTGAACTGAACAGTGTTCACGTCAAACTGTTTTGTAGGTGACACAGAGCTGATAAGGTTGAAAGTTGGCACAACCAGATGCAAGGATGCGCATCAACTGGACTGTCAGAAATGGAGTTGGGTACCAACCAGCTCATCAAAACTGGATTGTGGGAAATGTAGGAGTTTGTCACAAGAAATGTAGGCAACTGGTAAGAATACAATACATCCTGAAACGGTGGTGATTGCTGATGAAACTACCACCATCCATCAGCCAGTGCAACAGGTGATTACCATGGAGACTGAAAAGCAGTGAACAAACCTTGTGACTGATTTGAGAGTCAAACTGATCTCTTAGGATGCTCCTCCATTGAAAAGGTTGTTCAGCTACATGAAGGAAATTCAGCTTCACCTGTATCCTCTGGATAAAATAAATATAATTCAATTTCATTGTTTCTTTTTGACATGTGGAAATATCATGAGCATAAATCCTCCATCAATAGATCTAGAAAGGTCTTCATGCCATACCAAAGGCACAGTGTGGACTTTAAAAATCCCTTGTGTGACTGGAAAATTAAATAAAGAAATTAATGTTTTTCTGCTTACAAACATCAAAACCCGACTGTCACTGGAAAAACCCCCAACATGTTTCTTTCTTCTCCTGCAGCCCAGTGATGAGTGTCATGTCAAGACCCCAACAGAAATGCATCCAAAGTGTGAAGATGATTAAAGTTCTATAAATAATCTGTTCTAAGTTGGCAGGCAGTTCTTTCTCCAGCTGGCTGAGAGTCTGTAGCAGTTCAACTTGTGCCTGTCAACACTCAAAGAGGCTGCAGACAAGAAATTGACTTTGTTGCGCTCCGCGTTTGATGAATGCCGCCTGGTCTTTGCGGTGTGTATGTATCTGAGGAGTCCATTAAGTTAATGAAAACAGTTCAGAAGTTACGATGGGTCTGTGTCCAGACAACATGGTTTTTCCTGCACAAATCAGTCACAATTTGGGGGATGTTTCAAAGGAAAGACCCCTTAAAGAGGAGACACTTAGAGTGTTTCCTGCATTGCTAACTCAGTTCACTTCTCCACTTCCTCTGCCAACTTCATCAAAGGTGCGCTTAAGGACAGCATTTATTTGACCTGTCAGGAGAAGCCAAGAGCTTCTTCTCTGGCTTTATATTCACAATGAGGACAATGGCAACAAGTTGGTGCTGCACAGTGTCACGGCAAACCCAAAGAACGCATCCAGCTCTTTTGCAACCGAAAATGCAGCTGGGCTCACTGTATCTCACAGCAAATGGAAACAATGTGGAGGGCTTCCAAAGCCTTTGAGATGGGAAAAAATAAATAAATACGCTCCATCTCTTCAGTAACGCCTTCTGGGTCCATTTGCCCTTGCAGGTTATTGCCAAAATAAATGTCAGCCAAGAATGGAAACGCTGTGCCTTGAGGACACAAACAAGGTAATAACTGAGAAAAAGAGAGAGAGAAAAAAAAACATGCATTCATTTAGTGCATCATATTTCTTAAAGCCCGGGGGGTTCTTTCTTTTTCTCACAAATTCAACAGTGACAATTCACAGCAAGTCTTTGTCCTGCAGGCTGGGGATGTGGTAAACAAATAAAGTCTTTCAGTGCAGGCATACAGAGCTCTTCCTCACGATTAAAACTTTCATCTCAGAAACTTTGTGACTTTGCAGAAGCAAAAAGCAAAAAAAAAAAAAAAAAAAGCACATGCCTATGGTCTCGGGTCGTAGAGGGTTTTTCCCTTACGCCGAGAAAAACGCACCTTAACACCCCTCGTATATTAGTTTTAATAGGCTGTAAAGAAATTACTGAGGTTTTTAGGTGAAACAGCTGATCAATAACAATAAACTTCCCCACCCCCTCCCTGGCAGAGTGACAATGCAGGCATGCCATCAGGAAAATATGGAAGAAATAGTTCCATGCGCAGTTAATCATCTGATTTTTATAGGCTGCACGCATTTATAATTTAACTGATCATTTTGGAAAAGCCAAAGCAGCCCCAGAATATAAATCCTACAGGTTAAATAAGACCTGAAGGTCCAGTAAAATAAGCCCATAAACAGCCGACAGCCACAGATGGGCTGTAACCCTGCAGACTTACCCTGAATTTCCAAGGAATGTGCAACATTTTGGACGAGAGCCAGAATCAACAGCAACGAGCATCCCATGATGGTGTCATTTAACAACCCAGAGCTAGATGCACCAACTGTGCAGGAGGCACAAGGGTATTTAAAGTGTGTGTTTCTGTGGTTCATGGTTATAGGTGCACACCCTTTACAGCTGATACCGAAGCGTGTGCGTGGTTCATTTACCCAACCGCATACTGTGTGTGTGCACAGATATACATACAGAAACAAACAGCTGTGTGAGGACCAACTTCTCCTTTTTTGTCGTTTTCCTTTCTCAAACAATGCTTCAGCAAAGCTTTGCATGTCTCATGATTTTTATGTCTCAGATGCACGGTGTGTGTTGTTTTTTTGTTTTGTTTGTTTGTTTGTTTTTAGCATGTCTGCTTGCAGGATGCGTCTGCTGGGGAGGGAAGTGTTTAAAGCCATGTATCATTCATACCGTCCCGTCCCTGTGGGGTAACCTCAGAGACGACCAGTCTGACTGCTTCTGCTTATGCCCGAGTGCTGGGGGGGAATCACTCACCCTGGGTCATTGTTTTATGACATAATGTTTCCTTAATTCACTCTGGATGCCGCTTCTCTTTCAGACAGATTATTTGCTCGAGCTGTCGCCGTTTTATGGAGAGCATGCAATATGGATCAGCGATGCAGCTCCGCGCTGTGTAAAGTTTTAGACCGTGTGCCATCTTTCCAGCTTTAGTGTTGAGTCATTCAAACCGCTACGGTGAATGTGATGACCCAATATGTATGTATAGAAAAAAAAAAAGTGCTGCCATCACATTTTTTATTGTGCGGTTTGTAACGGTCTTTTGAATGATCGCTTCTGAAACCAGCAGGCACAGCGAGAGAACTTGCAGCATGTGAAACTGGGTTTCACAAAAGAGGAAATACTACGACTTACACACTTGCAGATCACACACGTTCACAACGATATGAGTTTCCATGACTTCAGAGAGCATCGCATTAAGTTAGTGTGGTGCATTGCTTCAACCAGGCAGTTCAAAGTGTTTTACATCATAAAACAATACAGTAACCAATTATGAGACGAGCAATAAATATTACATTTTGCCAAAAGCTATTATCAAGCAAATACATAAATATATTGATCAATATTCCAGTTACTAAGAATGAAAGCCAGCTTCAAACAAGGGGGTTTTTAGCCTTAAAGGAAAACTGTTACAGCAGTTTTCTTGAAGTTTGTTCCAGATTTGGTTAGATGGATGATTCGTCCACATTTTATCCGTTTGTTTTCAGAGAACGTTATTGAACAAACAACATGAAGACCCAAAGATACACCAGATCAGTTATAAAGTTGTGGAGACATTTTAGGCACGGTAAGTTTAGAAAACAATTTAGCTGTTAATTCAGTCGTCTGCAAATCCAAAGACTGTGACAAAAATGCAAAGACACGATCAATCAAGCGGCCAAAAGACCCCAGATAACTGGAGAGGTAAATGGTTTTTTTTTTTTTTTTTTTTTTTTTCTAAAAAAGCATGTACAAGACACGACAGCAGATATGGAAACATGGTGGCGGCTGAATCATGCTGTGGGGATGGGGGTTTTTAACAGGGAGACAGAAGCTGTTCAGTGCTGATAGTGATGATGCTAAATTCAATCTGAAAAGAACAGACAGAACTAAACTCAAAAGGATCAAACTGATCAAAGCATGCTCATATGTCAGAATGGACCAGTCAAAGTCCAGACTCCATCCATTGTGACTGAGTATCAGGTTATTTAACAAAAACAAGTAATTAGATTTTAGACTCCAGATGTGCCAAACCTCAAGGGAGTCGCAAACACAACTGCGGTGAAACATGGAGCTACTAAATATTGACTCAGGCAAGATGAAGACAAACGCAAACAACATTTTTACGCCTTTATTGGTGATAAACACTACAAAAAAAAGAATCATCCTTGTTCAGTTTGTAATTATGTGGCACATAAATACTTTGAAGTCCGTGGTTAGGATTTGACACAACTGGGAAAAGTTGAAGGAGTATAAATACATTTTGAAGGCATTCTGAATTTAACGGGCATTAAGCGATTTCGCACGCAACATTAACTTTCTTATTACTTTGTGTTCCTTTTGCTCCAATTTATTCACTGACTGTTCGGGATTGAACCTCCGGAAGGTAATACTGAGACCAAAAAAAAAAAAAAAAAAAAGTCACACGCATCGCTGAATTCTGAGGGCAAGTTCTGGACACGCACGTCTGTCTCTCCGCATCCCGCGGACCCGGACACGCACTTAATACTTCCTGCTAATCAAATTACCTGATGTGGCTGGTCCCAGTGGGTGGGTGGAGGCTGGAAATTTTGGAGCGTCTGGAAATTTTCAATCTTCTCCGGGTGTATCGCTTGCAGACTTTGAGCTGATTCGTTTTACATGACAGTGAAATGTTAACATTTCCCTGACAAGGTATTTACAGTTTTCACAGATGTGTAACAGGCTCTGCTTTTGCAATGCTTTCTCTCACTTTTATCATTTTTCTCTGTAGATGCACATCTGGAAATAGCTGGAAGAAACAAAGAAAAAAAACAGGTTGGTGATCAGCCAGTAATAACTCGTGTACTCGTTCCTTACAGGAACGAGTACACGAGTTATTACTGGCATTTGTAACCTTATCTCTCAGCGGAGGAGTAAAATCTCTGATCATCGGCACCGTCTCTGCCAGCTGTTGCTCATTTAGAGCAAAGCTATCGCTTGAAAAGTCTAATTCTCCCACACACACACACACACACACACACACCCCAAATGCTGAAGAGATACCACTCTGACTCTCAGCCTGATTGATTTGACACTCTCAATCCGAGTCACATACCAGGGCTGGCCTGTGACTCTACTGGCATCCATGCACTAAACAAAAGGAGCAGAAATCCAAAAATAAGTGCAAACTGGGTGAACAAAATACAGCCCCAACCTTTTCCAGCAGATTCATTCTGGTTTTCAGCTGCAGGTGAGTAAAAATAGGCAACTTTCAATGGACTCTGCAAATTTTGATGTGAGATAAGTTGCTGGGAACACATATATATATGAGGCAACACAGTGATCACGACAGACTCATCTGTTTGAGATAGTGAAACAATGAAAAACCCGTTCCCTCTCTGCTAACACGTTTTATTTGGGCATGCTGTAACTTTTGCAACACTCCAATTGTGGAACTCAAATAAAATGTATAATAGTGTTAAGTGCAGAGTCTGTATTTAAATAATTGTAACCAATCACATTTTAAATGGAAACCAACAACAAAATAAGCAACATTTTTTATCTAAAATCCATTTGGTAGCTAAATTATTGAAT